ACGTTCACATAATGGGAAACTGCGTCGGGCGACGCACCATCCAGTGTTTGTCCAGTGTGTCTCGGTACGTGGTCTTTCCTACGCAACATGTCACCTTTCATGTCTTCAGTACAACTCATCAAGTCACACATTGAAATAACTTTAGCAAAATTTCGGATACCGTAATTCGTGAAAAAAAAAAACGTGAAAAAAAGAAAAAATCATATCGCGTCTAAATGGAATGTGATGCAGGGATCAAAGGCTGAGATCCAACTGAAAGGTAATACTAGAAATAATACCTCCATTTTGTGTACACCTCTCACCACATGGAACAGTTGTGAAGAAAAGAAAGCAAACTGGCTGGCCTGTGTTTTATTCTTAGGTAGAAAATTTCCCCTTTAATCCCTCTAAGGTGAAGACATCGATGAATAGGTTTGAGGAAGATGTCAGACACAGCGAGTTGAGCTTGCAGGTGGGTCTAGCAGTCTGCATGGTAGTACTATGACCCTCCTTACAGATTTTTTATTGAGTATTCTGACCTAGCCGATTCATGGAGAGGTTCTTGACGACGAAGAGAGGGTCACTCTTCAGGCTTTTAGATTTCCTCATTTTCATTTTTTAGTGAAGTGCTCTTGAATAGCATCTTTGGTCCTGCTCAACTGTTACAACCCAAAACCCCCGAAGCGTTTTCTGGCGCTATCATCAAGTCAAAAACACACATTTTGGTGGAGGCAAAAGATGTTTTTTCTTTCGATGGAAGGGTTTCAAGCAGCTGAAGTATTCCAAGCCTCTCTCCTAAGCTTTTTTGTATGGGAAACTCATTTGTCTGTTTTCTTGTGTTTTATTTTACAGTCCGTGTTTCTACATGTGTTCATCGTGGCGTAAAGTTCTTTTGGTATTCATTCATTTTGTGTAATAGTGAAGCTTTTACATCGACTGCGATATGCCGGTTAGAGTGTGCTTTTGTATGAGATTCATTATGTGGTTCATTATGTATAAGTTCGCTGATCTCATTTCCTTTTTCGTCGTGAAAATACATCCTAACGAGACGAATGTGTCATTACTTTTTCTTGAAGTGCTGCTCGAACATCGAATTTCTCGCGCTCATCGCCACGGATATCACACTGGCTTGCTGTCGGACTTGTCGCTAAGAGCGGAGGTTTTTGACTTTTTCTTTGTAGTGTCAAGTTTTAGGACCCGCTCGGGCACATTATTTAATTACATTTTACTATACCGACTTACTTTTTTACTATACTTAATTCCACGTTTTTAAGGATGTGCAAACGGCTCGGCCAGTTGCTGCCGTCAGCGATAGCTTGGTCGTTGATCGTGATTTGTACTCTTTGTTTTTACTATTTTCTTGCGCCTGCCGTTGCCGTACGATGGGGTTGGTGAGTGATGTTGGCTTTTTCGGAAGATTCGTTTCCTAAGGGAGTTCTGGAATGTCGATTGCATGTGTAGGCTCAATATATCTTCCTCTTCTGTTGCCCTATCGAGCAAATTTATAGTCGGTGTTATTTTAAATGTATTGAAGTTCTTTTATGACCTCTCTTTTTCGCCTTATAAACGCCCTGGGTTAGTCATGGCCGCAAGTTTAAGTGCAGTGGTCGCGATAATTTGACGTCGATGAAATATGAAAATCACCTGTATACCCGCCGTCCCATAAATCACCGAGCTCCTTGAGTGGGCGCTAGTAACGCCTCTTTTTGTCCCTGTAGTGTGCCGGCCTACTCCAATGACTCTTAGAGGGGCACTCAGCTTAGCAATTCTTCCGTTCACAGCTTTCGTAAAAATGCTGACTATTAGGTCGGCGGCGTTCTGGTGTCGTCGGGGACCGCCAGATCCACGTTTCATCAAGAAATCGCATCACGTGTCCGGCCCATCTGATCCGATCAGAGGAAATATGAAAATAGAGGTTCCACATGGTGTGGCGGTGAAGAAAAAACCAATGGAAACGTCTAAAAAACAAGAAATGGTCCTTTGCTGTGATATTTAGCCCTTAAGGCGGAAATTACGGCCAGATAGTGGCGGATTAGGTGAACTAACCTGTTACGTGGTTAGGGGAATAAAAAATATGGCACGAAAGTCTAAATGAGTTATGACCATATCTTTAATGGTGAGTAGGCTCTTTTTTAGCACCTCATCACGGTTCAAACCAGTTATCGTGGCCGCTGCCGTCAAAGCACTCCTTCCTATTTATGATTTCATTCGGGTAATTGCGTTGGAACGGCAAAGCCTCGGATGTGTTCTGATGTGTAATAAAAAGAAATTCATCGAAAGGCCCGATTACATGGAACTGAATAGCGCCTCTGTATGGTTTCTACGGTTACTGATCTAGTGTATTACCTCGGTGCAGGGATGGCGATTGGAGGGGGCCGTAGTTGGGGTTAACGAAGGTCAAAAGGTCGGAGGGGTGGTGCTTTTATAATTTGTTGAGGTCGAGTGCGCGAGAGAACGGACTTCGATCAATTTTGGCATGAACAAAATTAGATAGTTTGCCTTTTTTGTGACGTATTTGCTCCCTCCTCCACCCTACCGACGACGATTTTGAAGAGAGAAGTGGGTGAAGCGATGGGGGTGGTATGGAGTGGGGGCAGGGATCGTGGGAAAAATTTCAAATCGGCGGAACGTCACGGTTGACCTGCCTCTTACGATTTATGGGGAATCCTTCACTCATTTGATCTGATAAAGTCTGAAACCGTTCGGAGACCTTGACCAACCAGTGGTTACATCTCACTAAAAGCCCCGTATTCATTTCCAGTGAGTCGCTAGGATGATACGATGAGGGAAGTGGAATAGATTTTCGCAATTGACGGAGCTCTATTTATGTATTTTACCTTTCCAACTAGGTACAGTATTGGTTTAGCAGTTAGCACAGATTATTGTGTAGTTTTGACTAGGCTCTGGCTTCATCCATTAGGCATGTTTGTGCTCCTTACCTAGTGGCCATTTGGGGCCAAGAGAGCTCTCGTTTCCGGTAATTTACTGGTTGATATCATGCGGTTTGCATATGCATTCAGTTAGGTTCATGTGAGAAGGCTTTTGATACTGTATTGGTTTCTTCTGACAGGAGTGTTCCTATTGCAGGTACGGATGGACCTTATGTGGTGTCGATCTCATCATTTTCCTTATGGTGATCTCGAACCTGATTATGGCGATGTGCATGGATCCAGGCATTCATCCTTACGGTACCCTAGTGATACTTTTTTGAGAAACCCGATGCCTAAGAGAATCAAACTCCAAATCTTAAGTGATTGGCTTGTTTCTCTTTAGGGTATGCAACTGAGGAGATGATGACGGACGACTTTCGTTCTCCATTATATAAGAACGTTGAAATTAACGGTATCACCGTGCGTATGAAATGGTGTGTGACGTGTCAGTTCTATCGACCACCCAGGTCGAGTCACTGCTCCGTTTGCAATCGGTGGGTAATATTTTTGTTCGAACTGTAATTTGCGTTCTGAATGAAACCGGTTAAGTGGAGATTTATGATTTCTAGATGCATTGATACGTTCGACCACCACTGTCCATGGGTTCATAATTGTGTTGGAAGGCGAAATTACAGGTAAAATCACTCGCTCAAATTGCCACACAATGATCCTTGCAACCCATAACGAAATACTTTTCAGATACTTCTTTTTCTTCTTATGTTTTCTTAGTCTACACATGTTATACGTTGCCTCGGTTTGTTTGGGATACACGCTTGCGCACAGGTTCGCTTCTTATTTTTTCTCTTGTATTTTTACTTATTACTTGGCTCTTGATTTCAAGTCATTTTGCCGCGATTTTACATGATGATGCTTTTTCATTCTGGACTTTATGCGCTTTACTTTAATTTACGTTTGCTTTGCTATGCTGCGTTATCGCGCAAGGTCGATGGGGTCACAGCAGCGTTGAATAGGTGTGTGGGAATACAATCAGTTTTTTCTCCCACAGCCTTTTCGATACTAGCAACCGGGCAGCATGCCAGCTTGTTCCATTTCGTGAAGGCACGACCTCCCCAGTTCTCGAGCAGCATAACCTGTCGACCGCGGGGGATGGGTGGAGGGGGTGGGGGTTTCATAGCTGCTGGAACGGCAAAATTACAAATTTTTGGCTACAATTTCTTGATTCCCATACTTGAAGAGAATTTTTCTCTTTGAAGAATTTCCCTTGTTATGTCTCTCAAAAATAGAGTGCTCATTCTATCAGACGCCATCCCTCTTTTCTGGAAGGATCAAATGATGAAAAAAAAATTAAAAATTATGTCTAAAAAATCACTCGTTGAGATTTAGTCGGCCGACAGTCGGTTTGCAGTTAGGAACTAAGAAAATAGGCGATGATCGTTTTCTACAGGGGGGGGGGGCGGATGGCGATGTTATGTGATAAAGGGCAGATCTACATAGGCCCTGTCTGCTCTTGTAGTCCAAGTGGTAGATGTGGTGAGTGGAATGTGTTGTCGAAATGATCCAAAAATAATCCGAGCTTCCCCGAATATCTCTAACTCTGTATAAGCGTACTGCTTGTACCGTGGAATGCCTGCATAGATGCCTCTCATTAAGGGACGATCCTTATGGGGCAAGAGCTGCCGGAGTGGCGCTCTAATTTCGTGAATATTTCGAAAATGGAAAATCATAAACTTCTTCATATCGAGTTTTCTTCGTGCTGAAATTATGGAGTCTTGAAGGAAAGTTCACTTCCTGACTTTGAGCCTGGTGAATTTATTACCGTTCTACTGAATAGATTGTAAGCTGAAGCGTTTTGGTCGATTCCCATAACTCTATTTTGTAGTAGCTCGAAAATGCTCAGGGTGGTCAAGAAAGTTTTCCCCTTTAAACTCGACGTGATTTTTCTAAGCTCAAAGAGAACAGATCGCGCTTCTCAGTATGTGAGGTGTATATCTGAACAATATCGCGGCCAGCTGGTACTGTCTTTTGAAACACTTCAACAGAAGCCTCATTTTTATAGTGCTTCCAAGTAGGCGGTGTTGTAGACGAATTTAGCTCTAAGGCCGGAGCGCATAGTTCGGTTCGTGGACGACAGCAAACGAGCTGTCAAAAGTGTCGGCATTGTAAACGTGCGCGGTGCAGAACTATGATAGGCGCCCGCGGTCACCCATGCTAACGCCAGGACATACACGTACTGCGGGCGTGATCTGTATTTCGCGACCAGTCCACTGTACTGTGTGGAATAGTAACTGCGTATTGATCTACGACACTTACCGCGTCGCCTTCCATTTGCAACCGCGGTTTATGCGACCACTTGCGGTCGTTGCTGTCGTCCGACAGCAGCGGTCGTAAGTTCGCAGGTGTCGCAGATCGATACGCACCCAATGCTGTGCGACACTTGCGGTCGTTGCTGTCGTCCGACCGACTATGCGTCCGGCCTAAGTGTGCCAAGTTTTTTTTGCTTTACTTTTATGATTTCAGAGAAGATATTCTGAGCAGACCTAATTTATGCTCAATCGTTCTTCCTGGCGTTGTGTGCTATCTTAGCAGTACCTGTAGTAGGCCTTACGATTTTCCACATCGTCCTCGTTTCTCGTGGGCGAACTACAAAATGAACAGGTTAGTGACAATTACGAGTAGGCTTAACGCTTGTTTTGGTCATAAGATCGGGTGTGGTAGTTTGATACAGATTTTTTTCTGAAGGTACAACTTATGTGCCACGAGTTGAAAACACGCTACAGGGAGCTGGTATTCTGACATATATATAGTGGAACCCGTGCGCAGTGATTGCCTGCCATATTTAGGCTTTTGAAAAAGTCTGGAGATCACCTCTCCATTTGACATTGATTACTGTGCGAGTATTGTTGCCAGCGGAAGCGACCGAGCAATCGAGCAACGCAACACAGCTTTTGGTAGGTTCCGCGAGCGCTCACCACTAGGCGGGAGTAGCCGAAAATTTCAGAAGACTTCTCTCGATTATAGAAAGAGTCAGGCTAATAGCCAGATCGAGTCGAGGAATCGGCACTCTTAGAACTCTCATGATGAAGATCTCGAGAAATATTGTCATCTATGTACGCGTTCGAGTCCTTTAGTACAGCTGTTTCGAAAAGAGTCGGCAAGGTATACATGTGGACTCCGCTACAACTTCTTCCTCGGTTTTCGTCGCTTCGATTGGATGTCCGACATTATCTGGCGCTGATTAGAAGTGGTGCCGCTAACACAAAACTCACTCAAACAAGAGTCAGCGGATTGCGGACGCTAAAAGCGACCTCGAAATTCGTTCCGATTCGACCCACAAAAACCCATCATGACCGCAGAGGTTTGGGGCCGCACATGGACCGTTGTTTAGCATTAAGACATTTCACTTCTGCACCTGGCCGAAGACCGCCACGGCTGAGTTTCTTTCACATCCGAACTACAATAAAGATTGCCGTAAACTTTGTCCAGTGGGCCACGAAAACATCTATCTGCTTATATTATAGAAGCGCTCCTCAGGGCAAAACACTTAAATGAACCAGAAAAGTCTGAGCTTTGCTAAGAGTTCCATCCAACGAACCTCATCTCCTCCTGACTATACACTGCTCCGCATAATTATTATAAAGCCACCTATGTTTCCTGCAAAAACTTTTTTCCTAAGATACGTTCGAGGAAAGCTTCTATATGGAAAAGGATGTAGGTATGAATGTTCTTTTGCACACCAGCACAAAGTTCCAGCTTTGAAATTTGAAGAGTGTTTTTCTGCAATTTTTCGAAAAAGCCGCTCTGACCTATTCCGCATAATTATAAAGCCACCCCATACTTTCTCGTTGCCTTTCCTTCCTGCTCGATTGAATTTTTTTGTTGTTATCCACACTTCGTCTTTAGGTGAAAACGAGAGGAAAACCGTCACCATAATCTGAATAAAGGGAAATCGTAACAAAAATCGTGAAAGAGTTGAAGAACAGTCGCACAGCCCAAATTTCGGGCCAGGTTCGTTTCAGAGAAAACAATTTCTTCGAGCATAGTGTAGGATATGGAGTAAAATTGAGCCTTGGAGATCGTCCTTTGCTTTCGGATTCAGATACACGTCGTCTCATGAGAAAACCAAACAGTTCCATCAAGTTGTGCTCGAAAATCAAACCTTACTTGGAATTCAATTCTCCATCCGGTGTCTGTTCAGCGTCTGTGGCAGAACTGCAGGTTCATTCGCGAGTGAGAAATGTAAAGCGCATTGTTTATGACAACAAAACATCTCAAAAAGTGAGACAGTTTTGTCAAGAAGTGAAGCCGACCTGACTGGAGTGAGGGCGGTTTTTTACCTGTCATTTCCTACGCCTTGTCTTCCTTTCTCGAAACATTTTCTTACTCTAGATAACTTCTTCTTATGAGAAGCGTATCCTGGAGATAAAGAACTTTGGAAGAAAGGCAGGTGTATCGTGAGAAATGACAGGTAAAAAACCGCCCTCACTCCAGTCAGCTCGGCTTCACTTCTTGACAAAACTGTCTCACTTTTTGAGATGTTTTGTTGTCATAAACAATGCGCTTTACATTTCTCACTCGCGAATGAACCTGCAGTTCTGCCACAGACGCTGAACAGACACCGGTTGGAGAATTTAATTCCAAGTAAGGTTTGATTTTCGAGCACAACTTGATGGAAACTGTTTGGTTTTCTCATGAGACGGCGTGTATCTGAATCCGAAAGCAAAGGACGATCTCCAAGGCTCAATTTTACTCCATATCCTACACTATGCTCGAAGAAATTGTTTTCTCTGAAGCGAACCTGGCCCGAAATTTGGGCTGTGCGACTGCCTCTCAACTCTTTCACGATTTTTGTTACGATTTCCCTTTATTCAGATTTATGGTGACGGTTTTCCTCTCGTTTTCACCTAAAGACGAAGTGTGGATAACAACAAAAAAATTCAATCGAGCAGGAAGGAAAGGCAACGAGAAAGTATGGGGTGGCTTTATAATTATGCGGAATAGGTCAGAGCGGCTTTTTCGAAAAATTGCAGAAAAACACTCTTCAAATTTCAAAGCTGGAACTTTGTGCTGGTGTGCAAAAGAACATTCATACCTACATCCTTTTCCATATAGAAGCTTCCTCGAACGTATCTTAGGAAAAGAGTTTTTGGGCAGGAACATAGTTTAGTGCCTTATAATTATGGCGGAGCAGTGTACTTTGTGCACGCCCCCCAATCCTAACCTCGTTGGAAGATGCTTGACGTCTTGAGGCGAACTGCATCGAAAGGCGGCATCGAAGCCTTTGTCTGGCCTTCCTCGTATTGTGTCAAAGGCAGTAGCGATTTGCCTAGGCACTGGCAGGCTTTGTTGTACTGTGTTGGCCAGCATCTATCCGAATGGATCTACCTTTTGTGAAAATATGAGGAGCTGAATTCCAGGCTGAAAAATGTTCATCAAAACCTATTTGCACACCCACAATATTACTACAGATGATCTCGTTCCTTTGCGAAAGGTCTTCACGGCACATGTGACGACTAGCCTCGCGTAAAACTGTTGAGTCATATGGCTCTTTGACGGCTTGATCTGATTCATTTTGAATGCTGTCCAATTGATGCCACAATTGCTGGGGCATGCTTCTTTTCTCGAAAACGAAACCCTGTCTCGAAGATCCTCTATTCCTCGTTGAAGTATTGCACGGCTAATCCTCTGCATTTCTACCTTTTCGAGACAGCTCTCGAGCAAGCACGCATCCTTCGTCAACACAGTTCTAGACGTTAAAAGCCTTTTTTCAAAGGACTTCTCGTCTGCGAAAAAATTGCAATTGCCCTAGGTCCGCAAATACGGCTGGCTTCACGGCGTGAATCAGAGTGTACCAACCCAAAAGAAGAAGCTTTGATGTTCGATGGGGTCCTACTATTTCTTACTTTATAGGTAACTGGTAAATTCCAATCCGGCTACAATCCGTTCACGATTGGATGTATTGGAAATATACGGCGAACGTTGTGCGGTAGTCAATTTCCATCGTAAGTGCAGTTACAGTAATTGCAATACGCTTTCTTTTCTAGCAGAATTTTAGTGTTTTCATTCCTGTGCAGATTTAGCTAGCTGCATGTCTATTCATTGACAGTTTAAGGTTCACAAAGTATGAAGAAGCCGCTGCAAAACGAAGCCGAAAGAATCGTTCAGCTGTGGAAGATGTAAAAGTGAATGGTGCAATGAAGAAAGGGGTAAGTTATTGAATAATTCCAATTCTAAGATTGGTTGTATATGTTGTGTGAAGTCTTCGTTTCTAGTTTTCATAGTGCTTTCTGTCCAGTTTTGAATAGTTTTCATCCTTGTAGGATACGGATGAAGTAGACGAAACAACTGTGTTATATGTTCCGGATAAAGATGGAGTGAAGGATGGTCACATTCGAGTAAATTTTGTTTTAGCTGTTTTGAAATGTCAACATTTTATATCAGAAATCAGTCTTAAATTCTAGTTGAAACAGCTACGACTGGCTGACAGCCAATCAGTTGGAACGTCGTTGTCATTGACCGGAGCAGACCCGCCTTCTCAGCGAGAACGCGATGGTTCCACATGCAACCTGTTTGATTCAGCTCAAGGTTTGTGCTTTTCCTTTCTCATGCTAGGAAAGAATTGTAATGCGACGTCACATTCGAATCGCTCTCTTCATTTCTAGTCGATTATGCTTCCCGGAACTTTTTTAAACATTCCATTAACACTGCATTTTCCTCGGTCATAGAACGACCGCAATGCGAGCCAGTATTTTCTCATAGGGTTTGGTCAATCTGACGTTTCAATTTCGATCCACGTGTAGCTGTTTGTACCATCACATCAATAGGTCATTTTCTACTCGAATTGTAGGCTTCTATAATATTTTTTTAGTCTGACTTTTTGTTTTGAGCATTTTCTGTTCTCATAGCATCCAGTGCCGCCTATGAATCGCGAATAGCTTCAGATCGCAATCTAGAACGCGTGCTTGCAAAGAGGTTTATTTTGAAGGAAACGTTCACGTTTTGCTATGAATCCTCGATTCTGTGAAGGCGAATGACAAAGAAGTGGTTGGGATGTCCATAATTAAATAGTTTTCCATACTCTACCCTTCGTCGTAATGTTTCGTTTTTCCTATCTCATTTCTCCCTTTAATGGAGGTGCTTAAAGCGGCC